CCCCGCTCGTCATCCCCCCCCCCGACATCGAGCCCCACTCAGTATATAGATCAGGCCCCGCCCAGCATACATATAAACATATATATATCATATAAACACATACACATGCAATAATCACAGAGATACATAGCATACAAAATGGTCATCGGGCCCCTCCCGGTAAGCATACAGGTACATAATACATTCAAGAGTCACGCAGACATCTAGCACCCAAACATAGCATATTCATCGGCCGACATTGATGCCTTCGACCCGCTAAACATAGTTAGGAGACTCACCTCAGACTGATGAACCTCACAAATAAAACTCTAGCTGCTGTTCCGCTGAAATCCCCGAGTTATCAATAAAATATCATCCCATTAATAATTGGAGTCCAGTTCATAACCATCATTCTAAAATAGGATAAAAAGACCATTTTACCCTTTTATTTAGCTTGTTGTAATGCCCTCTTTCAAATCGTTCCCATTGCGGGTTGGTGAGCAAGGAGTAGGTATTATTAGACATAGAACTCTTGAAGAATTGAGTTTGGGCTCATTTGTATGTGGATAGTGTATTTTGGATTATCTGGGTATTTGGTTTGTGTTTTGGAGCCCAAGGGTATCGGTAAAGGCGTTGGTTTGGACCTTTTATGAATTTTGTATTTTATTTCGGTTGGTTTTCAGGCTAAATAAAGTTGATAAAAGTGTAGGGCTTCTCGTTACATTTTCGTGGATATAAAGAATGTTGAAAACGGATATGGGATGCAAAAGTTATGACCATTTGAAGTTTAAGGGGTTTTGGGCCAAAACGGGTACGCATGGCGTACCCGGTAGGAACACATGGCGTTCAAGAAGGAAATTAGACACGACCATGTTGAGAATGTAGGGCGTTCCCCAATGGAACGCAGTATGTTCGCTGGGCAGATCCAAAGGATCGTTTTTAGGGTTTGGTCCCTTTATAAGCATCATTATGGACACAACACTCTTCCATTCTTCAACCTCCATCCTCTCTAACCCTAAGAACGAAACCCTAGCCTCCATTTGAGTGATTCTTGAGCTTCAAAGTGATTTATGTGTGTTTTGGTGCTTAAGGAAGAAGATGGAACTTCTTGAAAAAGAGTCATTGCTTGACTTGGAGCTTTTGGATTGAAGCTTTGTGCACCTAGATCTATCTTCTAGAGGTATAAAGTTTCAACCTTGATAACTCTTTCATGTAGATCTAGCTAGTTGGTTTTTGTTTATGGTTTTGGTCCCTTTGTGATGGTTCTTGTGAGTAGAAGTTACTCCAGAACCTTTGAGCTTCGTATTTTTTCCTTGTTGAGGTTGTGGAATCATAAAGTTTGGATCTTGATAGGTAAAAACCCTCCATGCATTATTTGGAAGTCATTTGATGAAGTTTGGGACTTGGGTTTTGATTTGGGTCCCATTGAGTTATGCTAAGTCATAAAGTTAGAAACTTTATGACTTAGGAAGTCCCTTTGAATTAGATCTGGAAGTTTGGACTTAGGTCTCAAGGTAAAAGCTTGCATCTTGGCCTCTTTATGGAGTTAGAATGCTTGAAATCATGTTTGGGTCCTTTTGGTCCATGCAAAGGTGCCAAGTCAAGGACTTTCTGGATTACGACTATGATAGGCAGCTATTTTGAATATTTGAGCTTTGGACTTAATGTATTAGGACATAAATGTGTTTTTTTTGTTTCTGGCCGGGAACGATGTGCGTAAGGATGGGGAACGCCGCGCGTTCAGGCCTAGTGTCCCGACGGATGGTCCGGTGATGAACGCCCAACGTTTGTGTCACCAGAGGACTTTTGGACTTTTGGTCTTGGACTTGGTTTTGGTGTTGGGCCTTCTATTTTGGGCCATGTGTGGACTAATCTGATTGAATTTCCCAGTTTGAGCCTAAGGAGTTAGGGTTGGGTTCAATTTAGAAATTAGGGCCATTGGTGGGCCATTAGTGGGCTTGGGAAGTCTACCTAGTATTGGGCCTTTCATGTTATAGTTTTGGGCCTTAGGCATGGGCCATATTAGATCAGGGGTAAAATGGTCATTTTACCCTAAGAAGGATTATTGGTTTTTGACTAAGTGTTATTGTGGTAATGATAGCTCAGGGAGTCGTCGGGGCAGCCGTTAGAGATGAGATTCCTCCTGTTTGAACGGGTCGATGGCACTAATGTCAGCACGTATATATATGCTTATATGTTTTCCGGATTACAATCCGATGCTGGGCGATGCTCGAGGAATGTTTGTATGCTTGATGTCTTTGTAATTCTTGCATGTGTCGGTATTTGTATGTTTCCGGATTACGATCCAATGTCGGGCGGTCCCCGATGAATGTTTATATGTACGCTTTTACTAACTAAGGTCCGATGCCTGGCGGTGCCCGAGGAATGTTTAAATGTGTGTTTCCGGACTACTGTTCGATGTCGGGTGGTACCCGATGACTATGTGCATGATAGATTATACATGATGTTTGCGTGATACTTGTATGTGCCTGGTAGGGAGGTGAGTGTGGGTGGGGTCCCGTATCTCATCACTAGCTGAGTGTGGACGGGGTTCCATATCTCATCATTAGCAGAGCAAGGGCGGGGCCCATGATAGGCGAGGCCCGAGGAAGGTCGGGTGGGGGCCCAAGATATGTGATTATGTGTATGGTATGTGGTAGTATGGGGAACTCACTAAGCTTCGTGCTTACAGTTTTTCAGTTTTGGTTTCAGGTACTTCCAGTTGCAAAAGAAAGAGCTCGGGATGACTGCATTGCACACACCATGATGTTTAGCCTGTGATGTTTACTCTGATGTTTTGATTTGGAAACTCTGATAATAATGTTTTGAAATACTTTGACTCATGTTTTGATGAAATGGTTTGATAACTATGGTTTTATTTAATGATTTAAAACGAAATTTTTGGACCGTATTTTATGAGTGTTACAAGTTGGTATCATAGCCTTGGTTTGAGGGATTCGGACACACTTTCGGATGTGTCCACTACTAGAAAACAGACCTTTAATGACGGGCTTTTTACGACACGCACGGATTAATGACACGCAAAAGGGCGTGCCCTAAAAATGATGTCAGATCTTTAGAAATTTGAAGAATTTAGGACGCGCATTTTTGCGTGCCCTAAAATTAGTGTCTCACAAAAAAACACGGAGGGCGCTTATTATGAAATGCGCCTCATCTAAACATGTCGTTTTATAATTTTTTTAATGAAACGCGCGTTTTAATAGTTAGGGGGAAATGGCATCCCAAAAACTAACCCCCCCCCCCCCCCCCCCCGGCCTATTTGCTCCTCTCTCAGTCTCCCTTGTTCCCTCTATTGATCCCTCCACCTTCTTCCATCGGTGCTAATCTTTGAATTAGCTAGAAAGAAACCCTAGGGCCTTCATCTTCACCTACATCCAGCACCTCCAACCCTTCTTCGTTCGTCCAACACAACTCGGGCTTTAATCTACAAGAAAACCTCTAACTACATCCTCTACATGAAAAAAAACCTAATTGGCAGCCACATGTTGACGTCAGGTACCCTTGAGATAAAAGCCTCATTTTGATGTTGAGATCCCATTGGGATCTTATGTTAGGGCCGATTTCTCATATATTTAGTTCTTACATCCCCTCTAACCAAACCCTTAGCATCCCAAAATAACCCTAATCTTTCGTTCGTTCGTCTTAGTGGCTAGAGAGGGAGTTGTACGAGTTATTGTGTAGGGCTGTCGGATTTTTGAGTCAACGTCGAGGGAGAAGACGGAAGAGGACCTCAAGAAAAACTTTGCTCCAGCCTAAGGTATCGATTCCTGTTCTTTTCTTCTCCTTCAGTTATCTTTCAAGAAACTTGTTCCCGGGAACCTTGAAGATTTTACAAAAGTAAGACCTTACATGATAAGGGTACATTTGTAATTAATTAATTACCTTATTTCAAAATTTTCATTTCACACTTCTATCTATAACAAAACATCGTTGTTGTTGGGGAGATTCCTCCTGAATCATCAAAACAGGACACCGAGTGTTCTGAGGACACAAAGGAGCCTTTAAAGAAAGGTAGATTTTCATTTTCTATTATGTAAACTTTAAATTCTTTTTTGTTTGGAAACACCTAATTTTATTTTTCATATGGTTTAAACCAGGGGATCGTGTGAAGTATGTTGGGCCTTCTGTACTTGTGGAAGAAGATAACAGGCTATTTTCTTCTTCTTCTTCAGTTATTTCTCTCCCAATTAGTTGCTGCAATTACTTTATTTGATATTGATTGTTGTGTAAAGTCTATTGAATAGCTTAAAATCAACTCAAGTATTGAAATTTGAAACCCTAGTTGCTGTAATTACTTTATGTTCAATTAGTAGTTGAATGCATCACAGGATAAAATTGGGGTCGATAGCAACATCTGATGGTCTTAAATCTTTCTTTCTTCTTGATTTGCTTTTGGTTTTACTTGTTTATGATTGTGAATGTAGTTATAAAACTTATCCTACATAAATAGAGTTATTGGTCTTAATCTGTTTCTGGTAATTTTATTTTCTTTTTCAGACCTTTAGGCACTGGTCAACATGGGGAGATTTATGAGATTAGTGGGGAAAGAGTTGCAGTTATCCTTTATAGCACAAAATACAATGATCAATCTGCAAAACCATCAATATATTGGCTTCTTGGTAATTTTCTTTTTGTATATCTAACAACATTATTGAATGCTGTAATGAAGATGAAGATGGAAATGTAAATGTTGTTGTTTATATGCAGCTAAGCATGTTGACCGTGATTTTGATACCGAAGCTGAAGACTGTTATATTGCAATGCGGACATTATCCGAGGTTGCATACATGCTTCTTGCTGTAGTTCAGACTATGTTCATTATGACATATAAATGTAAAAGTAAAACAAGTATTTTGTTTGTTTGTTAATTATCTTATTATGATTGCAGGTGTTGAAGTCTGTGCAACCTCTTATTGTGTATTTCCCAGACTCATCTTTATGGTTGTCAAGAGCTGTTTCTAAGTCAAACCGAAAAGAATTTGTGAATAGACTCCAGGGAAATGTTTGACCAGATATCGGGGACCGTTGTTTTGATATGTGGGCAAAATAAAGTTGCTACTGGATCAAAAGAGAAAGAGAAATTTGTAGGTTTACTTACTGTTTTGTTTTCTATTGTCATGTTTCTTATATCTTTCATACTAAAAAGATTTGGTAATGCTTTTGTTTTGTTAGCAGACTATGATCCTTCCAAATTTAGGTCGCCTTGCAAAGCTGGTAATTTTTTGATTTTTTTTTTCAGAATACTCTGTGTTATCACTTATTCTATTCAAAATAGATTATATTAGATGCAAAATATGCAATGTCATTTCATTTTTGGGACCAAAAGATGCAACATTTCACCAAAAACCTGTTTAACCATCTGAAAAATATAGTTATTGTGTTGTAGCTGTCTTCTTCAACCATTTTTGAAGAATTTTAGTATTCTTTCTTGGTCAAAACAGAGTAGTATACATATACAGATATGTGCATACATGTGAATATAGATGTGTACATGCATATACATATATAGATATGTGAAAACATATACATCCAATATCATTTTTTGTTTCATGTGTTGTTAGGTTTTCCAAGTTTTTAAACAGTGGAATGACGGAATGGAATCTGGGATTCTGAGTTCTGAAGATATTGGCTACTTGAAGAAGAGCATACACAAAAAGAAAACGACAATACTTCCAACTGTACAAGATAAATGGGTTTCTTTACATGAATCCTTTGGTCTTTTATGTTGGTGTGATGATGAACATCTGAAAAAAGAATTCAAGAACTTGAACAAATGTCGATTTTCTATCTTTTTGGGGATCTTAATCCAGAAGAAAAATAAATCCTTCAGGATAAGATTTTTGTCTTACAAGTAAGAAAGATAATTTTTGTTACTGAGAAAAGAATTCAAGAACTTCGTAATCTCGGAATCCCTTTGCTTTCTGAGGTACATCTTACTCTCTTTCTCTCTCATACACACACTGGAATCTCTTTCTCTCTCTATCTCTCTCACACACACTCGGGTTTTACAGGCTGTGACATGTGAAGCAATATACTATGACCCAACAGATAGTAGTTTCAAAGCTTCATTAATAACGTGGGCCCTTCCATATGCACAACCTTACATTTACACCAATAATCCAACTTAGATCACTGGGCATATGAGCTAACTTTGACTAATTTATTTACTAGATGAGTATATGAGCTAACTTAACTGTACAAGTAAATTAAAAGACTCGATAAGCCTTTGTGACCTAATCAGTCTCCGGTTTCATTTCTTTTCTCTTAACCATCACACCCTCTAACAGTATATGTTCCTGGGTTCAGAAGTGAAAGAAATTGAGAAGAAAGAGGGGAAGGAAAATCATGCTCCCTCGTTTTTGTGAATGACGTGGCAATAAAAGAAAGGGAGAATGGTGATTATCTTCTCTCTAACTTTCCTCCTAAAATGGAGGGATTTGGAGAGAATAAAAAATCGGCTACTGATATTACCAAATTACCCTCATCCTATTAATTATATAAACATCAAAAGTAGTTTAGTATATTCATTTGCAGGTAAAAAATTTGGTTCTTCGTCACTGTTGCTCTAAGCCAACAAACAGCTTGCGTCTTCTTTGTCCCTCCCTGCCAGGTATGTTGTACTTGTTGTTTTTCATTTTTTGTTGCAGTTAAAAAAAACCAATATTGTAAGAGAGGTCTTGGTTTGTACAAACGGTGATATGCCATGTTATACACATTTATTATTGCATTTGATTTTACAGTGCTATATATATATATATATATATATAATATATATATATATATATATTATATATATATATATATATATAATATATAAAGGCCTATGTTATTCTATTCAAACTAATTATTGTGTTATTGTATGCATAAATATGGGCCAATCATTTTACTTATTTTAAGAAAGTGATTAATACATATTATTGAATTAAAAATAATCGAAAAATACCATCTAATTTAACTAGAAGGGTATTTTAGTCAATTAACATAGATTTAATAAAGGAAGTTTGCATATTTTAAGAGATCATATATTCTATTAATTTTAAAAATCTGATTTTACGAATTATTAGGTTTTTAATTCGGACATTCAGACAGAATATGTTTGAATATATTCAAAAATAAAAAAAATTCTTGAACCATCAAATAATAAAAATATTCTTGAACATATTTTTCTTGTAGAATAACAAATTCTCGAACCAGCAATTGAAGAATTAAAAAAAGTATATTAATTCTTATAGAATACATGTAACAATTGCTAAGAATTACATTTATTGTTAAAGAATAAAACTAAAAAACTTTCAAATCGTGAAAAAAAAACATCAAAATCTAACAAAATCACTAATTTATTCTAAAAGAATAATGTTGCTAAGAGGCGTCGTTCAAATTTCATGGTCCGTTCTTCAAGCATCAACTTCTGTGGAAAAAAAATCCAATGAATAAATTAGTGAGAAAATATCCATATTCCATTCCAGTATAATTGGAATTCGTGATTCCATTCTGATAGAATTGGAATTCATTTACCAATAATTGTTTTTATTCAGGGCATTCTAACAGAATATGTTCATGATTATCATAAAAAAAACATTCTTTTATGATAGAATACTATAAACGAAGAAATACCATTCAGTTGAAGCATTTTAGCGAGCGCTTGGTGTGCATCAAAACAACTTTTAATTTCGGATGAACAACATACAGAAATTGTTCATACCACATCAGCCTTCACATAAATGAATAACATTATTCCAAGATTTTGTAATTGTCAAATACCAAATGCAATTAAAAATTCACCTGGGCAGGATACAAGAAACAGAAGTTGACGCAGCTAGAGGCTGCTAAAACAAAAAAAAAAAAAAAAAACTAATTTCTTCCTTCTTCATTTTTTGTGAATCAACAAACCCAAATTCCCTTCATTTTCATTGATTTCCCAGCAAACCCAAACACCCTAACGATTTCTATCAACAAAACAAACAAAATCCAAAAGAAAATTTTGTACCCGTGGTTGATTTGGAACTGCCAAAACAAGGAAACATCGTGATCTTCGAGCAAACACCACCGAGGTCCTCACCTGCGACAGATGGCTGCCATCGGACCCTCTTTCCCCTCGTTTTCTTCCTTCTCTACTGTTCCCATCGAACACAAAGCCGCAGAGGTTTCACCTTGCCACTGCCGCTCCTTGCGAAGCCGGACATCACACCTCGCAGCCGGAAGAGACGAGCAAAACTAAACTCCGCTGTTCTTTTCTTTTCATTTGGCTCGTCGACCGAAGGAGGAGACGCGAAGAAGAGGAGGTGCGATTTTGGGAGGTGTCGATCAGATTTGAGAAGTGAAGAAGGAAAAAACAATACTGGCTTCAATTCAGGGTTTTGAATCTTGATGCCGATTGAATGTTATAAATATATCTGTGCTTCTTGCGATTTACTAGGAATACAGCTAAGAAGAGTCAATGGTTACCATAATTATAGGATATTATTTGTGGAAACTAGTTATCAAATTACCTATTTACCCTTATTTATTTATTTATTTAATTATTTATTTTTATTTTAAATTTTGATTGCCCACATTTATGCATACAATAACACAATAATTACCTACCACTTAACACTTGACCTCTCTCTCTCTCCCTCTCCTCTCCGCTCTCTCTCTATATATATATATATATATATATATATATAGATATATATATATATATATATATATAATATATATAGGTTTAGGTTCTATGGAAAACAAAAAACCCTAAAAATCAAAAAAAATGCATAAAAAAATATTTAGAGATCACAAAGCTTTTTTTTTGAATTTTTTTATAAAAAATCACAGCTTTTATTAAAATTATTAAACGCTGAAAAAAAATAAAAAAATCAAGTTTCTTTTTTTTTTATAAATTTTTTTTTCAAAATTTTTTTCAACGAATTTCTTTAAAAACCTGCGATTTTTTCATAAAAAAATCAAAAAAAAGCTATATGATCTCTGGGTAGTTTTTTTTATGCATTTTTATGATTTTTAGGGTTGTTTTTTGTTTCCAAATAACCCTTCCCTATATAGATATATATATATATATATATATAATAATATATATAATATATTATATATATATTATATATATATATATATATTATATATCCCGGATTCTACTTTAGATAAGGTGATGGGCTTTATTTGGTCAACTGTGCAAAAACTGTCTTTAATGTTTCCTTTCCTTTAACTTTTGGTCCATCTCATTAAAGCTTTTTGAGCCTTGAGTAGCCTAACAACGAATGGGACTGTAACAAAGAAAAACAAATAAACAAAAACATTTAATTTACATGATGACTATTAATCAATCGATTGATTTATATATTTTTTGACAGGAAATATGTGTGTCATCTTCCTTTATGACAGGAAATATATATTTTTTGAAACATTTAAGATTATGACACACAAAAATGTGTGTCATCTTCCTTTATGACAGGGGATTTAATGATACGCATTGCGTGTCGTAAACGTGCGTAGTAAGGTTATGACACGCAAATGCGTGTCGTCTTCCTTTATGACAGGGCCTTCCTTGATATACATTGCGTGTCGTAAATGAGCGTCGTAAATGCGTGTTGTAACTGCGTGTCGTAAATGCGCGTCGTCTATAGATGACTCGCACAAGCGTGTCGTCTCTCATTATGACAGGGCCTTCCTTGACACGCATTTGCGCGTCGTCTGAGCATTTTACGACACGCATTGGGCATCGTAAGAGGCTATTTTTCTAGTAGTGGTCTGAACACAAACTGAGGACTTGGTATGAAAATTTTCAAAAGAAAATCATTTTTATAAAAAGGATTTCAAAAAGAGAAAAGGCCTTGGTGCATGTAATCAGCCGAGCTCAAGTAAGTTCTCCCAAATTACCCATACATTTTGTTATAATATGATATGATTATGAGATTTGCATGCTAGATTAGGACTAAGGATCTAGGAAGGATGCCTTGTATGCCTGCTATATGTGTATGAGAACTGCATGCTAGATTAGGGATAAGGATCTAGAAAGGATGCCTTATATGCCTACTGTATATGCTTATTGAACTGCATGCTAGTACTAATTACTCAGTGGTATAATGGCCTGATTAGGATATGCTTTATTTTTGTTACTCAATGCTCGAATGCTGCTTGCTTTGCTTTTAGGAGTTCTAGTTATCTTTAACTAACTAGTAAATGAATATGTTAAGTTACATATTACGAGGACTAAATAATTTCAGAAGGTTAGGTTTAGCCCTATTTCGCAGCTCTCGTCTGAGTCTAACCGTTGTAGGGAGAGACCTCTCATTCGAAGAATTATCTGGTCTTAGTAATATGTAATAGTATTCGCGAGCTAGTTATGGAAATGTAGCAGGGACTTCTTATGCAGTTGATGGCGGAGAGTGGGTCGGAGATTACCCTAGGGCAAGCCTAGGATGAGATTAGCGGAAAGCTGTAGGAGTGAAAGGGACTTGGTGGGGTCAAGACAATTCTTGAGGAAAGTACGGATATATATGGAAGGTTGTATGGGCCCGTACTACTGAAAGCAGAGGATCCGTACTCGAGTCAAGGAGAGCTGAGATAAAACAAGGAAACTTGTAGTGTGTGTGTGTGTGTGATCCCTCAGTAGTGATGAGTATTCTGATGGTTATTATGTTATGTGTTGCAGCATGGTGACGTTACACACTAGACCAGTTGGCAGTTCTGGCGTAGGTGAGGGATCATGCTCGGGCTTTGGAGTCGGGCAGCTCGATGATCAGATGAGGGAGTTTATTTCATTTCAGATTACGCACAATATTATGGACCAGACTCTTGTGATCTTAGGTACGGTCAAGGATGGCATTTTAGAGATTCTTGATGAGAGGCTAGGAGCATTCCACACAGAGATGACGGCCATGATAGGGGCGTACACGTTAAGATTCCGGGAGTTCAGAGCTTGTGGAGCTCCAGACTATCACAGGGTTAAGGACCCCATTGCTAGCAGTCGGTGGTTGGCAGATGTCGCCAACGTTTTTCATACTAGCCGGTGTCTCGAGAGGGACAAGGTCTGACTCGCCTCCTGTCTTTTGAAGGACAGAGCACGTGATTGGTGGGAGGAGGTTGGACATGCTATTGGAGATGATGCCATTATTGATGCGATGACATGGAGTAACTT